GAAGAGGTAGATGGAAATGTGACTGCAAAAAAGAAACAGAAAAAAGAAAAAGAGAAAGAATCAAAGCAGGAAAAACAGCTGAAGGTGAGTTTTAGCTGATCACATCCTCAGAACTGCTTCATTAGAAGAGAGCAGTGTTAGGCACTAACTGGAGAGCTGTGGTACCTAGACAGGGGCTCTGCCTTGTGTCCTGGCTCAGGAGATGCCCTGTCACTAAGGCTTTGCTGAAGGCGATTTCTCCTGCAACACAGGAAGGAAGTTTTCTAGGACTTGTGCTTATTGGATTTAAATAGATTAGGTTAAATGCCTTCTCTCTGAGGGAGGCTGGTTCTGTGGTCCTTCCTGTATGATCTGGTGGTGGTGGCTGAAGCTCTGAGCCCAAGCACTGTGGCAGAAGAGCTTAGAAACCCTTAAATAGCTCATTGTAAAACTTAAACAGAGGTAATGTGCTGAACGAGATGAATGAGAATCACATCTTTTTCACCCTCTGGGGAGCTGTGCTCAGTTCTTGGGTACAAATTGTGACAGATCACAGCTTTCTGCTGTTCGCTTTATAGACTGCCGTGGGAAGAATTCCCAATAGAGCATCAGGAATTTTGTATATTGAAGGCTTGGCATAGGTACTCTCCAAGAAAAAATGAACAAGCTGCTTTTGCTGCAGTTGAAATCTTAATGGAGCTGTCGAAAAATGGTGTGTGCCTTTGGACAAAAGTTTTCTGTTGTGCGCCAATGCGTGAATTACCAGAGCTTAGCTGAGGTGTTATCAAGGTTTTGCTGCTGCAGTTTAGGACAGATGAAGGCAATTTGTGTGTCAGGGTTAACTTTGGGTTCACTTTTCTTTACAGCACTTCATCAAGCATGGTCATTAACACTGAAAATTAAACCATTTAACACAGACAACCAGTTATTCCAGGATAAACTGTGGTTTTGACTGCATGAATAACATGCAGAAAGTATCTGAGATCTTGTAGGATGCTGCTTTGCTGCCCAACCCTTCCACCTTTTGTAGAAAGGCCCCAAAGAATGTGCAGGCTCCTCTGCCCTGCTGCAGGTGACTGATCTGGTAGGAATTCCTCTTAAGCTTAGATGGCTTAAAAGAAGAAAAGTGCTGATCAGCATTTCTGGTTTTGTTTTAATGCAGTGCTCAAAAGCAGCTACATCCTCGCTGTTGTCAGTGTCAACCAGTTAGGTGATATTTGCAAAGGCTGTTGAGAGCTTGCTAAGGGTAAAGTGTGATAGAAAGATGGGTTCCACTCTGCCTGAAAGCTAGCTAGCTGTCTTAGTGTCACTTGTGCCTTGTGTGGGATAGAGCTGGCCTGTCTTCACATGTACATGATGGAGAAGCCTTGGTTTATACAGAATCCCATAGGGATGTCCTTCTGCAGAGATGGTATTTGCTGAAGCCATGATGTTCTCATGTATTCGGAATCTGAAGCATGTGGCTTTAAAAACCTGTTTAGGTTTTTGGGTAAAATATATGACTGTCCCTTTTGGTAAAGCTACTGGTTCCTGGTACTCTTCATCTCACAGTCTGTGTTTAAGATACCATGGGCTTGCTAAAACCTTGTCCACATACTGCAGTTGCAGGAGTGTTCTTACAAAGCAATCGATGGCAAGTAACTAAGCTGCTGGATTTTGTCAACAGGAGCAGACAGAGCTGATCTGGGGCATCAAGGATGAGCTGAGGAAGGTCTGCTCCACTAATGACCTCAAAGAGCTGCTGATCGCCAACAAGCAGGAAGTTCCTTCAGGGGAGAATGCCGTGAGTTGGTCTTTGAATCAATGGAGCCCACCTGAACCAGTGTTACTGCAAGGTCCACAAGTCTGAAGCCCATTCCTAACATAACACTACAGAAAGAAATGCAGTGCAAAGCCCAGGCATTTTGTCCCAGGACTCTGATGATATTGCTGTTACTATTGCTTGTGAAGGGCTGTGTGGTGGTGTGTGCTGAATTCAGCACCTTCGTCTTGGTGATGTGCCTTCATTCTGGTCCATATTGGGGCTTGGGGTTTTTTTTGCTGGCTGTTCACGAGCAGGTTACTTATGGCATTTCACATCCTTCGGCTGCTAAGTTATGCAGAAAAGAGCAAAACCTGCACAAATTCCTTCCTGGTATCTTTTCTAAAACCAGTCAGTTTGTGTAACTTGTGAAAGTCCTCTATCTTTTGGAGCCACACATCACTTGAAGTATTTGTATTTATTAAGACTCTTTGTAAGGAGCGTGGGCTGGGATGTGGGAAGTGTCTAGACTCAGAACGGCCAAGAAATACTTCTAGTCAGGAAAAGCAGGACTTGTCTGAGCCTACATTCCCACCTACCTACTCATGTGCTCAGATGCAGCAGCTCGTCTCCTCTTCGGCTGCTCTGGCCCAGCTTCCCTTAATGTTGAATCCGGATAGGAGAGTGTGTGAGCAGATATTGTGTGACCAGGGAAACTTCACATCATATCTTTAAGGCATCATAAATCAATCGGTGCTGGTAAGAGTCTTGGTTTATGTGGAGTGTATGCGTGACAAGCGCTGCAGACATCTGTGTCTGTGTGCCAGCAGCATGACAGTTACTTTCTTATACATCCCAGTGTCATGTAGTACATGGGCTTCCAGCTTCCTTCTGCCATGACCTGTTTTGTATTCTTTGTTGCTTTAGATTTTGGACCGAGTAGCAGATGGAATGGCATTTGGAGCTCTGCTTCCCTGCGAGGAGTGCAAGGGGCAGTTTGTGTTCAAGAGTGACGCATATTACTGTTCAGGGGATATCACTGCCTGGACTAAGTGTGTTGCTAAAACACAGACTCCCAACAGGAAAGACTGGGTAATCCCAAAGGTGGGTGTTTACTCCAGATTTGATGATCTGAAGTATGTTTATTAACTGATGTTACCTGTTGTAAGGAGATCAAATAAGCAGCACTCAGTGTTGGATGCTGGAGAGCAGTGTGGCAGTCCTGTCACAGCTGCACCCCTCCAGGGGTAGGCAGCTAATGCATAGCTAAATCATAGTTTTTCCAGTAACACTAAATTGAAAGAAATGTTGCTGATTTGATTTGAAACCCATCATTTACCCTCTTACTTCAGTCAGTACAGTGGGTATTTGCCTACCAGTATGAATGTCTCGGAAATACTTTCCAAGACCTGCAGTAAATGCCAACATCTGGCCAGTGCTCAACTTAGCCTTTACATCCTATAATAAGATATAAGTTTAGTTTTAAATTGTATCTTATTTGATTTTAGACTCTACTTATGCTTCCATCTCACAGGAGTTTAGGGAAATTCCTTACCTGAAGAAGTTCAAGTGTAAGAAGCAGGACAGGGTGTTCCCTCCAGATACTACAACTGCAAACTCTGTGCCTCCTCCCTCTGCATCTGCTCCTTTGTCAGAGACTGTGTCTGCACCCAGAGGTGAGCAGCTGCCTGGCCATGGGTCAGTGGAGTTTAGCATGGTGTGTAATGCCATTCCAGCCTGAGCAGGCATGCTGTTCTCCTGCCCTTAGGCAGGCAGAGCTCTTCTGCTAAATAAAGAACAGCAGAGCAGGGTCTCACCTCCTTCATCTTCCTCGCACAGGTAGACCCTGATATGGTGGGTTGTCTGGGGACATGGGTGTGAGGTGCTGGTAGTTTTCTAACAAGTCATTTGGGTATTTGTTGATGATGGGGAAATTACATGTTTACAATGAATCAGAAACTTGAAGGCTGGTGTTGCAAAATGTGTCCCAAGGAAGACCTGCTGTGAGATGCCTTCTTGCTTGGTTTCTTGAGGAGCATCCAGGGACATCCATAACATCACATGTTCCTCATTGTATTAGGTTTTAAGGGCAAGAGGGGTTTTGGGCTTGTTTTTTTTCAAATCCTCCACTAGGATTTGGCTTTACCAGTCACTGATTCCTGTTATGCAAAACGGATACGCTGTCTCCAGCCCACAAACTGGCAAAAGCTTGGACTCCAGAAATTCCCCGTCGGAATGAGTAGCATGCTTTGGCGATATAGCCTGTCCACTTAGAGCTATGCTGACTTCTTTCTTATTCAGCCTTGATAGCCCTGGCCATACTTTTGAGCACAGGGTGAAAAGGGTGGGAGTAATTCTGCCCAGCTAATTTTGGCCAGATCATGCTATTTTAGCAATAAAAATGACATGACCCAGGTCTTGGCTCTGATTCCAGTGTGCCCTGAACCTGAACTCAAAACATTGACTAGAATTAAAGCCAGGTTGCTTTGTTTGCTAGTAACCTAACTAATCTGAGCTAGGGGGAGAAGAGGAAACAAAACTCTCAGTTGGTCAACCAAAGTTAATAGCATTTATTTTTAGCAGTGCAGGTGTGCTTGCTGTCTGCTATCCATGTCCTGGACTCAACTGCATTGCAAAGTGTTAACACGGTGACATGATGGAGCCTCAGATGGCTACCAGTGTGCTCCTGACTTGTTATGGAGTTTGCATGGTACAACCTTGTACTCTGAGATCAAGACTCAAATGTACTGCTGTGTAGGAAGACTATTGCTTTAGAGACAATCCTCTCTCTCCAGCCCCTCAAAACCTGATTTCCTTTCGAAGAAGCAGGAGCTTTCATCTTACAGTGAGTTTCTCCCATGCTGTGCAGGCATCAAAAGATGAGGGAGCAGAGGACAGTCTCTAGTAGCACAGAGCTGAAGCAGACATTTAAAGCAAACAAACATAAAAATAGCAGGCAAATAATGTGCCTGTATATCCATCTTCCCTGTCTTCCATCTCTTCTGTTTGTTGGTAGGTGCTGAGCTTTGGTGAAGGGGAGCTTCCTCCCATTTGCTTAGCATGGGTCAGACCTGCTTGGTCCCTTGTCTCCCTGCCAGCTGGGCTAATAGTGTGGGGATGCTGTCCCTTTGTGGTGTTACTTGTCTGGGGGGCTCTGTGCCTGTTGCTAATGTGCCGTGTTATTTCCAAACCCCTAGACAAACCACTGACCAACATGAAGATCCTGGTTCTTGGAAAGCTGTCAAAGAACAAGGAGGAGGTGAAGAGCATTGTGGAGGACTTGGGAGGAAAGATGACAACCACAGCTAACAAGGCCACGCTGTGCATCAGCACACAGAGTGAGCAGCCATGCCGTGGTTACTGGTAACAGAGCTGAGCCGATCACAGAGGACATGTGTCCTCAGAGCTATCTGGGGATCAGTGTTTGGATTACAGGGAGTGGTTTGTGTGCACATGTACCTTAGTGTGCTTGGACAAATGTCCTGGGTTCAGCTACACCAGTCATTTTTTGTCCTTCTTAGCAGCTGGTGCAGTGCTGTGGTTTTGACTTTCAGTCTGGGAACAACGCTGATAACACCGATGTTTTTAGTTGTTGCTCAGTAATGTTTACTCTGACCAAGGACTTTCTCAGTCTCATGCTCTGCCAGGGAGATGGGGAAGCCGGGAGGAAGCAGAGACAGGACTCCTGACCCAAACTGGCCAAAGGGGTATTCCATACCACAGCACGTCATGCCCAGTATAGAAACTGGGGGGAGTTACCCGGAAGGCCCAGATCGCTGCTCGGGTCGGGCTGGGTATCGGTCAGCGGGTGGTGAGCGGTTGTGTCCTTTTCCCTTGTTATTCCTCTTATCATTATTATTGGTAGCAGTAGTGGTTTGTGTTATACCTTAGTTACTGGAGAGCTGTTATCTCAACCCGTGGGAGTTACATTCCTCTGATTCTCCTCCCCATCCCTCCAGGAGCAGGGGGAGGAAGGAAGAGGGGGGGGAGTGAGTGAGCGGCTGCGTGGTGCCAAGTTGCCGGCTGGGCTTGAACCACGACAACAAGTAAAGACAGATGTATGCTGTTTGGGTTTTACTTACCTAGCAAGTAACTCTGCAGCTTGTGCTGGCAGGCTCTGTTGGGTCTGCAGCAGCTTGGGTCTGTATGCAGACCATGGTGGTGTGCAGGCCACCCTTGCTGGGATGACTGATGCTGGGGGCTGTGTCTGTGCTTGCCTTGGAGAAGCTGCAGAGCTGACTGTGGGAGCCTCATAGCAGTTGTTTGGTCTGCTGGCAGGTTGGGGTCTGCTCTTGCTTCCTGTTGGAGTTGAGGTGCAAACTGGCTGCTGAGGTAGGAGATCTGCTCCTACCTGCCAGGACTGTACAGCCCTAGCCCGGCTCCAGGAAAGGGATTGCTGGACCAGCCAGGTAAAACAAGAGTGTTCCTGCTGTAGCCCAAGCTGCAGATTAGAGGCAATGGGGACTTTGCTCTTTGAAGAACATGGTGAATCTAAAACATGGTGGAATTACGTTTCTGCTAAGTGTTACAGAGCCCTGAATCATGGCCAGGGTTAAAGTTTGAAACCTCACTGATGCTTTTTTCCCCTCTCTTTCCCGCCCTGCCTCTGCAGAGGATGTGGAGAAAATGAGCAAGAAGATGGAAGAAGTGAAGGAGGCCAAAGTCCGTGTGGTCTCAGAGGAGTTTCTTCAGGATGTGAAATCCTCCAGCAAGGACTTCCAGGAGCTCGTGTCTCTCCATGCGCTTTCACCTTGGGGTGCAGAGGTGAAAATGGAGCATGAGGAGATGGCTGTGGATGGAAAGTGCAGCAAGCCCTCAAGTGTGAAGAGTGCTGGGAAGGTCAAAGAAGAACAAGGTGAAGAACAAAGCAGTTGTTTCTCCACAGGCCTGTTCAATGCTGTGCATGCACAAAGCAAACCCGGGTGTAGTCTATCCTTGCCCTTGCCTTGAGTTCTCTGCCCTTTTTCTCATTATGAGTTTAAGTAATGAGACTTGAGGGCAAGACCAGCCTTAAGTAAACATGAAGCTGTCTCCTGAGCTGGCTTTTGTTTCCCCTAGTTCAGTCTTACTTCAGAGATCTGTGCTGTGTGTGCCCAGGCTCCCTGACACCAGTACAGTCTCCTCATAACTCAGCAGCTTCTCTGCCTGTCTGGGTTAGTGTTGCAGCTCCAAGTAGGTGCTGGGGCACAAAGATGTGACAGATACTACTGTGACCCCCAAGGAGTGTTAGCAAGTGGGAAAATACTGGGGCCAGAGCAGAGGCACTTTGTTCTACTTGGTTTAGAACATAACATTTTTTTAATGGAGGAGGAAAACTACCTAACACCAGTGGCATTCCTCACCAGTGCCATAGAGAGCTTGCATTATTAATGCTGGATGGTGAGTGAACAAAACCATCGGATCTGCTTGCCTATTTTGGGGATCCATTCTTCTCCATGTCCTCCAAGTGTAGGTTTCTCTCATACAATTGGTATGTATCTCGCAGCAGTAGCATCTCCAGGGGACCTGTACACCCCACACGGCCTGTCAGGTTTTTCAGTCCCACCTGAACACAACCACAAATGTGACTTTTATTTGCTCTGCAGGTGAAAAAGTGCTATGGCCCATCCCTTGGGAAGGAGAAGGCCCACCCAGGAGGAAGGAGACAGAATCTGGGGAGATCCTGGTTTTCATTTAATTGGCGGGGTGGGGGCTGTGAATTAGCTGCTAAAGCCAGGTAAAAAAAGCCATTGGAGTCGTTGTGCTCGTGTGCTGGGAACTGATTTAAAGTCTCCTTAGGGTGATAATTATGCAGATTGAGGATTTAAATGCTGATTCAAGTGTTGCCTGCCTAGGAAAAAAACTAACTGTCTTTCTGCAGGACCTAGCAAGTCTGAAAAGAAGATGAAGCTAACAGTTAAGGGTGGAGCAGCAGTAGATCCTGATTCTGGTGAGTGATAACAGTGGCTGCTCCTGCACCACACACAGACTTCAGGATATGTTTTCTATGAAAGGGTAGGGTTCCATAAAAGCAAAGTGATTTTTTTTTTTAAGCCATGTTTTCTTGCTGTGGAAGGTAGGATATTGTTTGACATCCAAAGCTGGATATTACAGCATTTTCTAGTGCAACTTTCAGAAGGACCACTTAACACTGAGGTGTGGGCCTTGCTCAGCCTCAGGAGCATCTGTCAGTGCAGTGAATAAAGACGCAGCCAGCAGAGGCCATAGGTCTGGTGTGAGCATCTGCCCCTGGACTCTTCGGGGGCTGATGATGCTACTCTCCAAACCTGTAGTGCATGGATGTTGTTCTGAGAACTCGTGCTGCATCCATGGCCAGCCTTTGGTTATTCAGTCCATTTGCTAACATGACACCTGCAGAGATGTATCTTGAGAATTCCTTCAGCCAGTCACAGAGTGTTAAATATAGATGTTAGATGGTCCTTTTTAGAAAGTTTTTCCCTCTAGTTAGGATTGATATTCACTCCAGTGTATCTAAAGGTATGTGCTCACCACTTATTAAAATTAACCATGCTTCAAGTAGTTCTGAATGAGCACATGATCACTGATTTTTTCATGGTATTTCTGTTAAGAGTCACACTACTTTAGGAAACATTTGGGTGAGCACGAATGCAGGAGAGAAACCTAAAGTGGTAGCCTCCTCTGTGTTCTAATCTATTCCTTTGTAGGTTTGGAGGATTCTGCTCACGTCTTTGAAAAAGGTGGAAAGATTTATAGTGCAACTCTGGGCCTCGTAGATATTGTGAAAGGAACAAATTCCTATTACAAACTGCAGTTGCTGGAGGATGACAGAGAGAACAGGTGAGTTTAGTTTTACCTAGAAAGACTTTTGTTAACTTTATCCAATAAATACTGTATTTTGTCCTTGACCATGGCAGGGGGTTGGAACTAGATGATCTTTAAGGTCCCTCCCAACCGTAACGGCTCTGTGGTTCTATGAAGATGTCCTTGTGAGGAGATATGGATAGGTACATTCATTAAAACAAACAAACACCCCAAAAAACTCCCCCAAGCCACTAAAAACTGCAAAACAACTAAAACCAAAACTACCCATGGAGAGATCTTTGCTCTGTGGGGAGACAAAACCAAAGCTGGGAGGTGAGTTAAGTTTGTGGAATTGCATGTGGTAATGTTCATTCCTGCATCCTGGCATGAGCAAGGCAATTACAGTTGGTGTTTTCAGGACTGCATTAGTTGGCCAACAGGATGGCCACAGTGCTCTGTGGCTGATGGCTGCCCTTGAAAAATACAGAAGCAACACCAAGGGGTTGTCATTAACACAAACAAATACTTGAGTTACTTCTGGTTTCTCTGAAAACTCTGGGACTTCAGGCTTAAAGATGCATTCAGTTTGGTTTTCAAATACATGCCCAAATAGTCTGACAATTGGTATTTGTGAAACATTAAGACTGAAGAGCTACTAGCCTGCCTTTCCCTGCTGTGCACACACTTATGCTCAGGGGTGTAGGCCTGGTGTGTTAACACTGGGCACTTTTTCACACCCGTTCTTGGCCATACACTCTGGTGAGTCTGTGTTGCTCTCCTGCAGTCACTGATAGAGGTGGTCTTCCATAAAATCAGAGGTATGCCAATGGCTGATTTGCATGCATGGTTGTTGCAGGGTCAGTTTCATTAGGACTGAGATTGAAAGCCAGAGTACGCTATGTCTGTTTCTCTCATGTTTCACTTCTGTAGATACTGGGTGTTCAGATCTTGGGGTCGTGTGGGCACTGTAATTGGGAGTAACAAGCTGGAGCAGATGCCATCAAAAGAAGATGCTGTTGAACACTTCCTGAATTTGTATGAAGAGAAAACTGGCAATTCTTGGCATTCAAAGAACTTCACTAAATATCCCAAAAAATTCTACCCCCTGGAAATCGATTATGGACAGGTAACTCTGAAATGTCCCTGCACCAAGCAGAGCATTGCTTAGCTGCTTTGCTATGGCTGTTCTGTCCTTCGCTCACTGTTGGATCGCTTACACTTAACAATCCTGAGGAGTGAAGTGCAGGTGTAACTATTGTGTCTTCTCTGCTACAGAAAGAGAGCTGTAGGTCAGTGAGTGTCATGCATTGAAATAGATGTGCTGGGAAACTAAGTAGTTTTCCATTATCAAGTCTGAAGTCCCTTCAGTGCTCATTCCTGTTTGCTCTGTAATTTTAGGGATGTTAATTTGAACTTAATTCAGCAGCCATTTCACATACATCCTGTCTGAAAACACCGTTTTCTTCTAGTTAAAATAGACACTTCTCATCTGTCCTCTTTATCCAAAATCCTTCCAAATGCTGAAGCGATTCCTATGCAGAGTTCTGCTTAGTGCACAGAAAGAACACGCTGTGAAAGAGGAATTATTCCTTGCCAGTAAGATTTGGCTATTTAGACAGCTAAGCTAAATAAGAATTCTTTTCCTTCTGCGGGCTTGTGTGTTTATTTGAAGGCATACCCATAACTTAAACCAATTTCAGATTGAATAGTTGAATGCTGTTAATAGCATAAGAACTAGAGAATGTATTTCCACGCCAGTTTATTTTTCTGTGGCCAGATTACTGGCTGTCATCTTTCAGTGTGAAGTACTTGATGCTTACCTTTATTTCTGGAAATCTGACTATTGCAGTGGCAAAGTGGCTGTTACACTGCAGTGTACAGTGGTATTCTGAAGCATCTGGCAGATGCTTTATTGCTCTACCCATGAAAGCATGTAGATGGTATTACAGGAATTGATGATTCCTGTACTCATCTGTGACAGTTTTTGTTACAAAAACTCAGTGGAAGTACTTACTACATCTCTATTTTGTCATGAAAGCAACAAAGTAAACTCATTTTTTCATATCAAGGTCTCTATGCAGCAGAAATCTTGCAGAAAAAGTAATTAACACCGTTGCTTGAGGTGAAGCAGAGATGCACAGAAAGTTCCTATTCCCTTAATTTTACTTACGTTTTACAGTGCCAGCTCTTGAAATAACATGTGTCAAATTACTGAATAGGTGGATTTTTAAACCCACTTTGTTCCAAAATGTCAGAGCAATGTCCCACGCTCCCCATGAACTTCAGGCTAGTCATAGTATGCATACACTAAATTGGTTTTGAGTTGTTACCATGGCAGCCAGCCTGTTACTTTCATCCTTTGTGATTTTGCTAATTCTGATACTATTTTTACCTCCCAGGATGAAGAAGCTGTCAGGAAACTGACAGTAGGTGCCGGGACAAAATCAAAACTGGCTAAGCCAATCCAAGACCTTATTAAGATGATCTTTGATGTGGAGAGCATGAAGAAAGCAATGGTGGAATTTGAGGTGACTACACACATTCATGTTCCTTTACTTCTAACCATCAAACTTTCACAGCTGGAAGCAAGTTCTTTGCAGTCCGAGGTGCATCATACTTCTCCGAAGTCAGTGTGAGTTTTAGATCAGCCTTAAAATAAGTGCAAGAGTCTGACCAGAATTTGTCAAGCACTGGCAGCAGTAACTTTAGTTATGATACGTGCAGCTTTAAAAACAGGGGTGCATTCTTTGTTCTTCAGTGCGGAATGTCTGTATCAGTGTCTCCAATTTAACAATGCCTATGAGAAATTCATCTGCCAGTTCTGGGATGAGCAATCATTCTATGTGGTTTGGGGTTTTGTTTGTTTGTTCCTTGGGTGATGATTGGTTTGGGGGTGTTTTGTTGGGTTTTTCCTCCCAGTGACACACACATTGTGACCAGTGTTCAGTGAATGCTCTTAAGACTCTTACCAGTTTGCTGGTGATGTGAGGCTGGAGGCACTTCTCTTTTTGTGAGTGGTGAACCATATTTTGAGGTGGAGGGGCAGTGCTACCACTAATTTAGGTAGCAAATGAGCACACAGCTCAGACTTGAGAAGAGCTGTCAGATGATACATGCACTGATAAAGTGCCTTTACAAAGTCCAGATCCTCTTCTGAACAGGGCCAAACTTTAGGTTTCTTTGTTGTTGTGTTTCTCATTTGTTCTAATAATACCCTATTTTCATCCATTCTTTCCTCCATACTTCTTGATCCATGCTTCTAACAAGATTTCAGAGAGTGATCTGGTATTTTTATGTGTCTCTCCTTGCACAGAAACAGTTTTACTGTTTTTTTGAGATCCTGCAGTTTGTTTTAATGCAGCCATTCAAACTGAGTTAATTCAAAATAACAAATTTAGGTTTCCTTCAGCCAGCTTAGGTATCGTGCCCTAAGACTTCATATTTAAGCAGCTGTTTGCTCTCTGTATCTGCTTTTCAGAACAGGCTTTGCTCCATGTTGTATAGCTTATCTGCAAGCTTTCACGTGGCTTGCCTGACATTTGTAGTAGCTTGGGTTAATTGTGTATCTTGAATGGTTTTTTTGCATCAAAGTCTTCTGAAATATTAATAATCCTTTGTAACGGGAACTGGCTGAAGACTCTGAACTGATCATCATCTGATGTAACTTGGTTTTGTAGAATTCTGTTGATAGTGTGTTAATTCCCACCATCTGCAGATCTGTAGCGGACCTGGGAGTCCAGATGGGTCTGTCTTCCTAATAGATTTATCTTCCTGTACTGCTGCTGCTGCCAAACAGCAGTTTTCTGTTAAAGGAAGTAATGGTTTTCCTGGTCAGAGGTTTTTATGCATCCTCTGGAAACAGCTGCTTGGTTCCTTTAATCAACCTGGTCTCAACTAGTTCATTCTATCCAGGCACTCTCACTCTGCCAAAACTGTAGCAAACTCTTAAGTCTTTCCCTTAAACAACAAGAGATTTATCTGATGCATTTCTCTTCCTGCATCTAATACAGTTTTCAGGAGTTTTACCCCCCAAGCATACAGGAGTTTATTGCAATTCTCTGTGTCACTGCCTTACATCAAGTGGCTTGAGGGCTGAGTTTATTCCAGTACTATGTCTTTTGCCTGGGCAGAAGGCAAACATCTCCCTTGTCTCTCCCTGACATATTGGTGCACACATCTGTGATGTGGAGCTAATTCCTCATGTTACCCTCAGTGCATCTGGCAGTAATTGCAGTGCTGCTATTTTAGACCCAGCCCTTTGGCTGCTGTGCTCTTTTGATGCCTCTAATGATAAAGCTTTGGATGCAGTTTGGCTTCATTTCAGAGGTTAGCTCTGTTCACCTCCCATGAGTCAAAGAAGAGACAAGCTCCAACCCTCTAGCTGTTTGTGGGCTCTGTAGGAGATGTGCTTCTCCTAAATCACGTTGTTGGGGGATGTGTTAGTTTATAGGTGTTAGTGTTCATGTGTTAATGCATATATGTGTTAGTTTGTATGTTTATATAACTTACAGCTAATATAGTGTCTGCAGCTATTTGCACATCCAAGTTAAATGGTCCATTTTACTTTTACATGTCCTTCATGGTTTTTCAGCTAATAAATGGTACTCGGCAACAAAGAATTTGCTCCAAAAGTTTGGGAGCTACAAATCTATTGCAAGTCAGTTTTCATTAGGTTATTAATCTTGGCTTCATGTGTCTCATGTCCCCAAGACATGATCAGTTTTGAAGCCTGTCTTCTCTCTTGCAGTCCATCTTGGCTTTTCTTAGCACCTGGCTTCACCTAGCTTAGCAGCTAAAGGTGAAAGTTCTCCTAAGCCCAGTACAGAGTGGAAATCTCCATGCAAAATCACTTCAGGGCTTTCACACCAGGCTGTGTTGCTTGGAAGAACCTTCTGGGTTCAGCTTGCAGAGGAGATTTGAATACAGCTGGGTTTCCTAGCTCCATAGGGAATAAATAATGCAGAACTTACCTGGACAGTAAGCAATATACATGATTTCTCAGCATCTTCTGTCCTTGAGCTGAATCTTAAACCCATCAAGTTGAGTAAAAGCTAGTTTGACTAGCAGAGTGTATGATGAGTACTGTCAAGAGTTCAGAGGGTGTGTGCATGATCTTTGTAAAAGACTGCATTGGACTTCTGTCAAATGTCTCTGCATTCAGATGGTCCTTAACTATGCAAAGATTTAATGCAAATCCAAAACTCTTCCAAGAACCACCAATACACAAACAAAAGCAACATATAAATTAAATTAGGGTGTAAATGCAGGCAGCCAAGACATTGCTTTTTTTGGTTGTTTGTTTTCCATTAGTGAATATGAAGCACCTTGCAACCTCTTTGCATTTGACCCTTGATAACTGTTGGGTAAAGTTTTTGTATCTTATGAATAAGATTGTAATCTTACAAACAAGAATTCCTTCATTCAGTTTGTTCCTTCGCCAGCCTGAACCACATGGTTACTGAAGTGATTGAGGAGTGCATCTGACACCAGGTTAATATTAAACTTCAAGCCAGAAGCTTGACACTGTATTTCTGTGTTGCCCTAGCATGTATGCTCAATTTCCTACTGCAGTATTCCTTTGTGCACAGGATGTCTTCTCAGTACCATGCACTGTCCCTCTGACATAATGCCTGGATCCACAGAGATTAATACCAAGTCTGAAATGTCTCCATTCTTTTTGTGGTCAGTCCTACCAGGATGGAGGGATTAGCTCCCTAGAAACCAGAGAGGGAATGCTGCAATGGTTTCAATGTAGTGAAATCCCATTTTAATCATTTAAATCTTCATCAGATTGACCTGCAGAAGATGCCATTGGGAAAACTGAGCAAGCGGCAGATCCAGAGCGCATACTCCATCCTCAGTGAGGCTCAGCAGGTGAGCATGAAAGAGGTGTTAGAGGAAGGGGGGGAATTCGGAAGGTGTTTTGGGCTCGCTGTGGGGTGGATGCTGAGCTGTGTGTATGAAGACCTGTGCTCTCCATAGCTGGAGAAGAGGACATGGCTTCCATGGGTTGCCAGTTAGTTCTCTTCACTGTTGTACCAGATTGGGCAGTACTTGTATCTTTCACACCTCTGTAGCATGAACTTCAGGCTGAGCCAGACATAACTGGCAGTTAAGCAAATTGAGCTGGTGTTTCCACCCCAGAGAAATCTGTTAGAGGATGAGAATAAAGTTTAAGTTGACACAGGAAAGGGTCTGCTTTGATGACATTACTATATTTACACATCATAATCTGGACCATTCCAAGAATCACTACGTAGTATTGCCTGTACTGCTTGCAAAAGTGTACCAGCACCCCATTTTTGTCATGGGCTCCCTGGCAAAGCGGAAGTACAGGAAGTTTTGCTTCGGTTGTTAGAGTAGACCAGAATCTTGCCAAGGATATGCACCACTTCCTTACCCAGAAGCCTTTATTTTGCCTTCCAGAAAGATAATCCCTATTAGACTTCTCTCAGACCAGAAATTCTGTGCATTTCAGTGCAAGTACTGTGACTTAGGACATGCAAAACAATTAAACAGAATTGCTCTTTTTAGTCCTGTGAGAGTTTCAGCATTAACTCTCTTTGTATTGCTGGTTCTGTGTTAGTCCTCAGGTATCTTGTGTGTCTATTGCTACGGAGACTTGTCTTACTCAATAATTTGGTTTGGTGCTTGTCTTGTCTAGGCAGTTTCTGACAGTGGTTCAGAATCCCAGATCTTGGACCTCTCCAACCGCTTCTATACTCTGATTCCTCATGACTTCGGGATGAAGAAACCACCTCTCCTAAACAACCTGGAATACATTCAGGTATCAACTGGAAACAACAGATTGTTTGTAGGGGATAGTTCTCATATCAAATGTCCAATAGAGAGAATGTGTGAGGCTTTAAGCCTTACTTTAATGTCATGAGGTTAAGCATGTTTTTCTTCGAAATGCTGTTTGTTTATGTGCATGTATGTGTGTACATAGGTACAATTATATGTATGAGGTATTAAAAGATAAGTTATATGTTATGGCTTAAATACATATGTGTGTGTGTTAATATCTTTCAAGTGTGTGTGTGTGTGTATATATATATATGAAGAAAAAAAGCAGTGTTGTGTTGTTAGACAGCAGTGTGTGGCCACTGATTCACATAGGCTTTGATATTGGGGTATTCCAGAGGTACTCTGAACATGTCAAAGGCACAAGCAAAATAACCTCTTCAAATTCTCCAGGCCAAAGTGCAGATGTTGGACAACTTGCTTGATATTGAGGTGGCTTACAGCCTTCTCAGAGGTGGAAATGAAGATGGAGATAAAGACCCAATTGACATCAACTATGAAAAACTTCGAACTGATATTAAGGTAAAGGAAACAAAAGGAAATGAGTGACTGAATACAAGCTGATATCCTGTTAGTTTGGAGTATATAACAAATCATGTAAACTGTAAGTGGACAAATGTATTGGCGTGAGTTCGATGAAGGAGCACTGTGGTGGTTAAGGGACTGGAGCATGCGTTGTACAAGGAGATGCTGAGAGAGATGGAGCTTTCTAAACTGGAGGAAAGAAGGTTCAAGGGCTATCTTACCAATGTTTATGAATGTCTGGTTGGGGAAGGGAGTAAAGAAGGCAAGAGGCAGACTCTTCTCAGGGGTTTCTAGTCACAGGAGGCAATGGGCACAAATTGAATACAAGAAATTGTATTTAAACAAAAGAAAAGCTTTTGCTGTTGATGGTGTTTGGTTTGGATTTTCTTTTCTGATCACTCTCAGTAAACAAACCAACACTGGAAAAGGTTGCCTAGAAAAGCTGCGGAGGCTCTGTTCTTAGAGCTGTTGAAAGCCTGACTGAACTCAGCCCTTGGCAACCTCCTCCAGCCGCCCCTGCTTTGAGCAGGGGAGTTGGAAATCATCTCAATTTCCAGAGGTGCCTTCCTGTCTCATGCACTGTGTGACTGAGCACTGTCTGTATACCCGTACATCTTCTCTAGCTGGGAATAAATTTCCACCTAAATGATAAAGGAGGCTTGAAGTGGGAGTTGCAACCATAGGGTGGATGTTGTCATAAGAACCCTGCTAGTTTGGATGCTGAAGAAACTTCTCTTGTTTGCCTCTTCGCAGGTTGTTGACAAAGATTCAGAAGAAGCCAAGATTATTAAACAATATGTGAAAAATACTCATGCTGCTACTCACAACGCATACGATCTCAAAGTTGTGGATGTAAGTTGGGCAATACTGGGGTTGTTTAATTTTATGAAGATGGACTCTTCTAAGTTGACTTACTGGTTTGCTGTTTCCCTTTATTTTTGAGTAGCTTTTCCAGTTTCCTTTCTTGAAGGGATAGTTTGATAAACCAATTGCCATTGAATAGAAAAAGCCTAGGCAGAGATGAGTCTAAGCTTGCTGAGGTGTCTTTGGGGATGTGTTTTTATTTTCATTTAATTGACCTCAAAAGGAGGTGGAGGAGTAATCATCTAAAATTGAGCCTTAGTTCATTTAATGACTTCTCAGAAAACTATGGTCTCAATGAAAATACAGAAGGGAGGGCAGAGAAGTAATAACAAGTACTGTGTGATTGATGCTCCCTCCTTTTCGCTAGCATGACATAGCAAACTGGAAGTACTAAACCCATCAATTTTCCTAGCAGATTAGAGTATATTCTGCATGGGATGGTTTGGGGGTTTTGGGTTGTTTTCATCTGGTTAGTTGCATGAAGGTAACAGTTTATTTGCTCAGTTGTTCTTTTTCTCCTATCCCTTTTTGACTGAAGATCTTCAGGATTGAGCGTGAAGGGGAGAGTCAACGTTACAAGCCATTTAAGCAGCTTCACAACCGCCAGCTGCTGTGGCACGGTTCCCGCACCACCAACTTCGCTGGTATCCTCTCTCAGGGTCTCCGGATAGCTCCCCCTGAAGCTCCTGTGGTACGTGAGAACAGCTTCTCTTTCTCCTACATCCCTGTGGCCACAGTTGGAGACAACCTAAATAGGGGAATTTACATGTGGGGAGGGCACAGTTTTATGTCCCAGCATGCAGACAACATTGTGTGTCCAGAGTGGGGTGCTGACTGGTGTCCACAAGAGTTTGAGTTGCAGTTTTGCTCTCCTGGGAGCCCAGCCAGGTGGGTTTAATGCTGCCTTTGTGTTTTATTGTCCCAATCTTTTGGGGGTTTTTTTCTGCTTGCAGACTGGCTACATGTTTGGGAAGGGCATCTATTTTGCAGACATGGTATCCAAGAGTGCCAACTACTGTCACACATCTCAAGCTGATCCCATAGGCTTAATACTACTGGGTGAAGTTGCCCTTGGAAATATGTAAGTAACTTATGAAGAGTATTTGCTGAACGTGCTTAATATATTGTGCTAGAAGGGGATGCTAAAATTGCCAGCCTTCAGTGTGAAGAAAGTGTTATTCCTTTGAAGAAGACTTCATTTTTCTTAAAATGAGAGCTATTGGGGGGGAGGGGAGCATCATTTTTAACAGGTCTTAGAATATTGTACTATATATATTTTATATATATGATTTGATATATAATATATATCAAATGCCAATATAATTAAAATTAGTAACTGAGACAAAGGAAGGCTGTTGTGTCCAGAAGACTAGAATCTGAATCAACTTTATATTAACTCACAATAAACTGAAGCCTGAAATGTGATTTTTCCACCAAGGTAGTTTAAGACAAATGTAAAATGCTGTGTGTGTTCTTTGTGCTGTCCAGGTATGAGCTAAAGAATGCTTCCCACATCACAAAATTGCCGAAAGGAAAGCACAGTGTGAAAGGTAAGCATTAGTAGTTGTCACTGGTAATCTGTTATTGATGGCAAACTCACATTGTAGCTCTCTGCTTAGCAAAAAGTATGGTCATTTCATAGCTGTACTTTGCGTAATGTTGCTGTATAGGTGCATCTTTATATGTGTATGTGGTGTTTTGAGACGGGAGTTGGTGCGCTTTGAATGTTAGGACTGAAGTTAACGTGTTGCCTGAAGTTCAGGAGGAACCTTTCATTTGATATTACACAAGAGAAAATGTAAGGTGCGCTCTCCGGCTTCTTACTCGCTTTCATCCTAACAATACTGTGTATTTTAGAAGAAAGATGAGAGGTTTGACAGATGAGAAGAATAATTGTTTAGCTTTCAAAGTGCCTTAGAAGCTTGGAGAGAAGGGAAAAGCTGAGAATGAAAGTTCAGATGGAACAGCTGTTCTCATTACACTTCTATCTGCAAAAAGTATCAGTGTATTACCCTGAAAAAGAAGAAGAGAGAAAAGACTTAGCTCTAATTCAGGCAAAAGAACGGTGAGCGTGACTGTCTTCTGTTCTGAAATGAGGGAGTGGAGAACAGTAACGTTCAGAAATGAGTGGCTTTTCTTTATTCATTTTGAGAGGCTTAAAAAAATCAGTTGTCTAAAATAGAAATAAAACGTGATTTAGCATTTTTTTTCATACTACTCACACAATTATGGGATGTCAAACCAGATTTGTATTGAAGAGTTTAAAGAGAATAAGAATTGGTTTGTTATACTTCTCTGAAAGTGCTACAGTGTGCATGTTTTCAGTAATGGATCTAGGATGTGAGAGCTTTAAATCTGCTCTGGATTAGCTTTGATCATACAGATTAGACAATTAACAGCTGAAAGTCTAAAATATTCTGACTTTTAATGTAGCAGAGTACAACTACCATAAGTCTGGTGATGCTGAGCTGAATAAACCATGTTCCTCATGTTCTTTTTAAGATACATTTTGCGCTTGATCAGCATTTGAAAATGTATGTGAAGTAATACTTGGCTGAGTAATTTTCTTTATCTGCAAAGTCTGTGTTTGCCTCCTAGATTTGTAACTAATGTTTTTTCCCCTTCTAGGCTTGGGCAAAACAGCACCTGATCCCACAGCCACTACCACCCTTGGTGGTGTAGAGGTTCCCTTAGGGAATGGGATCTCAACAGGAATTAATGATACCTGTCTTCTGTATAATGAGTATCCTTTGCTATTATGTTGGCTGCATGCTGTGTTTGAGTGTTGCTGAGTTTAGCAGGACCTCGCTAATGCCACCCAGGAGTTTTGGCACACTGTGGTTTTGCTGCTTCTAGATCTGCTTTGGAGTGCTCACAAACAATTTAGTTTCTTCTCCAAGGGAGATGATTTTATAGTGTTCACACTTAAATTGTCTCTGCAGAAAGAGGAAAGAATACATGTAGCAAATAGCTGTTGTCACAACAGGGCTCAGTATCTGGAGGCGTTGGAGTGACCAAGCAACACTGCCCTGTAGCATCTTGCTCAGAGACGCGCCAGGACAAGAAGAGGGGGAATGCAGCCTGTGGTTTCACATCACTGCAGTCTGATTTCTTCCTTGTGGTGCTGTGGCTGGCCAGCTTGGCCAGGAGGAGCTCAGGGAGCCAGCTCTGTGGGTTGATGGGAGTCTCTCATCACACAGCTACTTTATGTTCCCCAGACCCTTTGCAAGTATTGAGGTGAACCTCGGATGCCCATCAGAGATGCAGCCCTTAAGCCTCTTTCTAGGCAGAAGTGCCCCCAAATTACTATGTGGTCAACATTCACAAGAGGTCATTAGAGTATGTGATGTCTAAGGTCTCAGATTAATCTCTTCGCTGCCAGTGAAGCAGGTAACCTATTAATACAACCTCTGGGTTGTGTAGAAAATGTCTTCACTCTTGGTGAGCTAGCTAATTGAGGTAACATGATGTGCACTGATTTTGTTTTACACTGTTTTTAATGGGGATGCTTTTCACCTGAATTTAGGACTGGAGGTAAGTTTGAGCCCTAAAGCATTGAGAAATAGACAAGCTGGGACTGTTTTCTTTAAAAATAAAATGGTGTGGTGCAGTGATGGAATGTGCAAGCACTCCCAACCATTGCAGAGCTCTTCTTTGTGTTCCCAGTTTGGGGCGGGATGGAGTTTAGTGGGAAATTAAAAGGACATTAATGATGTTGTGCTGGAAGGTAGCAAACTGTACTTGTAATTGTAGATGCCAAGTCTGTAACTGCAGATCTCATCTAGTCTACCTCGCTCCACTGTTCAGATGGCACAAGAGATGTTACGTGTTACGGCTCTGGCTGACAAAAACTAATCTTCACCTGCCTGTCACTCGGGATTCCTGCTACACCATCCTTAATTCACCACATTACTGTTAGTTGCTTGTTTCTAACTATTGTGTAAAACAACTTCAGATTCAAAGAGAAGTCACGTTTAAAGATCTGTGGTTTGAGCAGTTAGAACTGCTTAATCACACAGGCAGCTGTGTGGTAACATAAGTTCAAAGGTGAAGTCTGACTGTGCTTTCAGAGTTTTCTGTGTTACTACTAATACCAGCAGCTGTGATTATTCCTTAACATTCTTCCCAGATATATTGTGTATGACGTTGCTCAGGTGAATCTGAAGTACCTGCTGAAACTGAAATTCAACTATAAGACATCACTCTGGTGAACAGTATTTAGAAGCCCTGTTAGAGTTATACTGTAGTTACACTATAGCGTTGACTTCTGACATGCTTACGCATTGACTTCTCGTACCAAGATATCAAGAGCTAACCTGCAGAAGAGGTTACTAAATCCTATTTAGTACAACACTTAGTGAAAATTTTATATAAACGTGTGGCAACACATGGACCTGAATTCTGATGAGAACGAGTACCTGGTTTTGTGATTTACCACTTCTAATTTGGGGGGTTTCAAGTGTTTCTTTTAATTGAGCAAACTTGCTTCTTCCCCCACCCCCAAAAAAAAAATTAAGCTCGTGTTTTTAGCCAAACAGAGCTGGGTGATAGCAAGTAAAGGAACTTGAGGCTGTTTGTGGTATTTGCCCTGTTAAGGTTCCCCCTTGTTTAAGATACCCTTTTTCAGTTTTCATTGGAATAAATGAGAAATGTTCACTTATTTTGAGGTAAAAAAATAAAAGCTAATTTCATACTAACATCTTTATGTTTCACAGCTTCCAAATTGTTTTGGTTTTGAGTCATGATTTAAACGTATTTGGTAGAATGTTCTTAAAACATGCTATATATCTCTCAAGATGAAATGCCAAATACTGAAATCTGTAGTCATGTTTCAGGAAGTCATGGTGAGCTGAAAATTTGGACTTTCCACTGAGACTTCATCTGTCAACAGTTGGTGTGGTAAATATGGAAAATGAACTTGTGGCTGTTTGAATTTAGTATTAGCCCCAATAAACCTCCTTTAAATATCTGCTTTCAATGTGATGTAAGTTGGTTGTTGTAGACTCATGTCCTGACAAAGCCGTAAGTTGAGTTTGGACTCAAGTTTCACTCAAGTCTTGACTTCCCAGACTTGTCAATATAAACTGATAATTTCAATGTTTAGTGATGTTTGTTACTTCTCACTTTGAATAAGGCATTGAGCAATATGGGAGTATTTAACTAACTATATACAGCAATATCAATTCTTCCTCTGCAAAAATTACTGATTTCCCTGAGCTGTTAGAGCAAGTTGGCTAATCCCCAGGAACAGCATGGTGCATTCAGTATCTCTTCCACTCATTCGGGTGGTTGCAGCTTTATAGACTTTAGTAACCTGCGTGGAAACAGAAGATCTATTTCCTAAAACGTTGTCATGTCACAGTGCCTGTCGAAAAAGGAGTTTGAAGCCAAAGTGGTTGCTAATGGTACAGATGTTTCCAGGACCCCTGAAGGAGAGGAGGATGAGGAGTAGTAGATGGAAAACAAAGCTGCTGTTGGGGAGAGAAGATGTGGAAGAACTGGGTAAGTCGTTTGGCTTGAGGACAGTTCAACATAAGAGAATCGATTGAGGTTGGTGCTAATGGATTTTGAGAGGAAGTGAAGAGAGCAGCCCTTATCTTCTGGTTCTTTAGTAGCTTACCAGGTGGCTAATGATTGTTTTGCTTCCAATAGAAACTTAAGTTATAATCTTGTCAGTCTCTGAAAGACAACAAGAGAACTGGTTCAGTTGAGTTGTGAGGTAGATTGTTTTTTGGTTCCCTGATCTCCTCACTCCCCCCAAAAAAACCCCAACTAACAGTTCAGTTTGGGATCAGGAATCACAGGAAGGTGCTTTTGGTGTTCCCTCAGCCTGTACCATAGGTGGCTCAAAGTTCCCTTTTTCTGCAACCCAAGCAGTGCAAGGAGTACTTTATGATGTAGTGCTCAGTTACAACTGCAGCATGAGCAAGTATATCCCAAGCTGTCTAACCCTGCAAATACAGCAGTAAAAGATGCAGTGGGACAGGACTTTATGAAGAGGCAGCAGGTGCCCTTTGGGCACTGTAGGAGAGCCCAATGTGACTGTCCTGCAGTGAAAGGTAATGTGAAAGCAAGCACTGGTGCCACTGTGACCCAGCATACAGACAGCCTGTCCCCGGGGCCAGGCTGAGAAGAGCAGCATGGTGACAACCACTGAAGGTGTTACTTTTGGAGGATGTGCACGAAGCAGAGCTGGATGAACAGGTAGTTCCATTTCTTGAAAGGAAGGACTTGGCAAAACATGAGATCATCTGCTTTTTCCAGAGGAGGTTTGTTGAGGAATGACTTCTGATCTACAGTTCAACTACAAAAAGCAATTTCTAAATATTTAACCTTTTTATCTGTATTTAGAGCGTCTGGAGGCTCTGTTGTACAATGGCTCACAAATGTTATGATAGTCCATGTAGTCTCTATGAGTGGGGTAAACTGAAGGAAGCCAGCCTGGGCTTACTGACTGGCAGTCAGTGTAAACTGCTTGTGAGTTAGGCCTGAGTTCATGCAGGAAAGAACTGTCTGGGGAAAAAAATACAGCCCAGGTAAGCCAACCTGGTTCTTTAGCCATGAAACAATCTTTAAATCAGTTGGTAGAGCCTTTAATGAAATCCCCACACACCCCTCTGTGTTTCGAATCTGAGGAAAGGGGGTTAAAAACACCCCAAACTAACAAATAATTCAGATACGAAAAAGGCCTCTGGGCACATCAAACTTTCTCAATACCATTAACTGTTGTACCCATGTTCTTAAATAACTTATGCTGTGTTTGTAACTACTGAGGTCTTTGCTTCAGCTTGCTTTCTGGAAGACTGTTCCAGGCCTCCCTCTGTGTTCTGGGGACATAATTTTCTGCTGAAGTATTGGGGTTTTTTGTGGCCAATTTATATCGCACTTAATATTTTATTTAAATTACTTTTATATATGTGGTGAGGTCTCTTAACATAGTCTGTAATACTCTCCTTCTGTTATGCCCATAAAAGAAGTTTCCACTGTTGTGGAGTACACGCATCTGGCCAAGAGCCTGTGTGACCTTTTACTTTCAAATATGTCAGGCTACTTCTCCAGAAATTATCATTTTGGCACCTATGAGAACCACAGGTGTAGATCCCAGCCAAGATGACTTGCTGGTTTCCATTTGTTCCAGTGTGAAGGTAGCATGTGGGCTGGTGGGCTTTGCAGGTTGCTTTCACAGGGAGAGATACGCCAGTACTGTCTGAAGGTGAGAAGAAGGAATGGCTTCCCAGCAATTGAAAGGGGAAACTACTGCTTCCCCTGCCTCCTCGTTACAAATTCTAATTTCATAACGTGATTAATGCAGCAAGACTCAGACTTCACAAGAATGTGCTTCAGTGACTGGAGAGCGCGTTTTCCTGCCAGCTGTCTGTGCTTTTCTTCCTACTCCCAGTGCCTGCCTAGGGGAGATGAGAAAATGACACCCTAGCCGTCCCCGGGACACAGCATTACCTGCACTGTGCTGACAAGACTGTGAACACGTTGATTAGTAGGTGGTGTAACCCATGTCTTAATACCATCTGCAGTAATTAAGGAGAAATGGGAGTGGGGAAGTGCTTTCTGCGGCATTTCCGTGCACACCATTAAGAGCAGTTGCCTAACATGACCCTGCGAGAAGGCAAATGGCATGAGCAGAGCAGGTTTAAAGATCTCCATCTGTGTGTGCAAGGCAGGTGAGTCAGCAGCACCTAATGGCAGGTTGTTAGCAATGAGCACAGATGCTCTCGGTTGCTGTGCCTGTCAGAAGCAATATGTCATTTCCACACAAGTTCAAAGTGCAGATCTGCCAGCATGGTGAAAGGATGCACTGAAACTTTGGGTGTTTGTGTACTGTCCAACAGCACTGGCTATGGCTTTGTCACACAGGGTCACGTTTGTGTGACTTGGAAACACACAGGAGAAATGAAAAACCAGAATGTAGAGATACTGCATCATTCATAAAAGGACAAGATGTGAAAGGTCTTGTATAGTGGGAATCCTCGTAAGACAGTGTTGATTGTTACCCTTTTGGCACAGTGGGTGGTAATAGCTTCTGCTAAATGTTTTCCAAATGCAGCTGCTGGAATGAAAGGAAGGAATACCCAGTGTCCTGCTGCTGGGAGCTAAATTCTGCCTTGTGACCTGGTAGTTTTTAAGATGATAAGCAGGAGGTGTTGAGAAATCTCTCTTGGCTCTTTAATCTGTTTTCTAGTTCGATCACAGTGTCTAAAAAAGCCCTGAAAGGCACTGGGGGGTTTTTTGGGTTGGTTTTTCTTGTCCCTCCTAGAAATCTAGGCTCTAAGGACTGTTGCAAAATGTGATTGTGTTCTAAAAGCACTTTTCGTCCCTGACAGTCCCTTGCCTTGGTGAAAGCTCTGGTATCAGGGTGGCACTGGGAGACCGCTTTCAGCACAGGAGGACCTCATGACAAGGTTTACAAAGCCCAGCAGTAAAAACCGTGCTGATGACCAGTGTCTTCTCTCAGTTGCAGAAGTCTCAGTGTTGCCACTCTTAGCTGAGCATTAACATATAACCCTTAGAACAAGGGGAGTCTGAGGAAATACAGGAAAGTGTTGGTGCCTTTGCACATTAGTGTCTACCTGAGCCTGGAGGTCTGGTCCATGTCAGGCTTTTTGGGTGGGGGAGGTGATTTGTTAAAGGGGAATATCGCACACAGCTTAATGTTGTGTGGTTTTTGCCTTTGAAATGGCACTATCACTATTCTGTTGCTTTTTCTAATTAGTTTATTTAGTGTTACACTTACGATGCTTTGTCTTGACTGTAGTGGCTTTGTTTTGTGCTGTGCAGTATGGAAAGCTCTCACTGAAGTGCCTTGGGTCCTTTGGGGGCTAAGGGGAGGGAAGGCTGTTTTAGCAGCCTTTCAAAATGACCTGAAAAAGGAGTGGAAATGCTTTGTCTTCCTACCAAAACAACAAACCACAAACCCAAATAATTCTTCTACAATGTACATAAAAAGCCCTGGGGATATTTCTAAAGGATTTTACTCTATTGGTTTCTTCTCTTAGAAACTTGCTTTTCCCTCTGAAGCACAAGGGCAGCATTGATTTTGTTTTTATTATTATTATTATTAATTGTATACTACCATGACCTGTACCTGCCCCTCCAAACCTGCCCGAGTGCCCAGTCATTGAGTTCATTAGCAAATTAAGAACACAAATTAAAAACTCTGTGTCCCCAAATACACATTTTCTGTGTTTTGCAGAATTCTTGTTTTTTACCTGGATGCTTTTGAAGACATGCAAACAGGCATAGCATCTATTTTGCATTACACCACAGTGCCGGTGGCAATACGTGACACAGATTTAGCCTTGACTAATATATACTGTTATTTTGAACTTCAGTTTGCATTTACATATATATATACGTGTGTGTGTGTGTGTGTGTGTATAAAAGGCATTTTGGTCGGTGTAAGTAGCAGTAGGTACTGTTGTCAAAGCCCAACACCTGTATTTACAGTGCTTCTGGTTTGCAGTGATTCCTCCCCCCCTTCAATTTCTTGATGCAGAAGCTTACAAATTCACTGTGGTGCAGAGACCTGAAGGTCTCTGAACACAAAGACCTGAGACCTTAAGGGTTTCTAACACAAAGAAACTCTCTTTGCTGCCTACGGCCAGCTCTTGGCTGTGGTATCTGGGGACTGCATTAGAGGGGAGACCCGGCCAAGGAGCGCGTGAGGCCACAACCATCCCCTGCCAGTGGTTTGTTGGCTCTGCTCTGGGTGAGAACAAGTGAGACCTTGACCTTCAGGCCTTGAACTCGGTCCGCGCTTCAGCCGGCTCTTCGGCGGGAGTGCCACGGACTGTGCCCGCAAGGGCAGGGTCCATCACGCTGGTTTTCCGTTCTGATCTACTTCTGAAGTCTCACCTTTGCAGGCACTGCGGGTAGCCATCGGGCAGCTAAGAAAAGCAGAGATACGGAAAACAGGCAGGGTTTAGAAAATAAAAACATCACTTAAAGAAGGAAGATCGATAC